GTGTGTGTGTGGCCTTGTTTTTCCTACATTGTGGGGCCCAGATTTGAGGAAAATGCGGCCTTGTGGGGACCAGGTGCAACTTCGAAGACTGCTTTGGGGTCTGGGGGTAAGCTTTAGGACCAAGGTGTAAATTGAGGTGAGGTTAGTTTAGGGTCAGGTAGGTACCTGTGAGGTTAGCCTTAGGGTTTGTGGTCAGGGTTAGGATACAAAATTACCAAAAAAAATGAATGGAAGTCAATGGATGGGCCCCACAAAGATATAAAAACAAGTTGGTGTGTGCGTGTGTGTGTGGCTTGAAACAACTGCACCTGTTTTCCATGTGAGTGTATCTGTGAGCAAAGTTGCTAAAATATACATTTTGACATGCAAAAAAATAAAAAAAAAACATGAAGAAGCACAATCATAAAACTCTTCTCCGTGCACAATCCCACTTCAAGCCACTCACCTCGCAGCAGAGTCACCAGCATGTAGAAGCAAACAGCCCGCTTCATGCTGCATTCCTCTATATCAGGACAGAAAGAGTGGCAGACAGGAAAACACAGAGCGCGGATAAGATGAGGGGAGAAAGGTAAAAAAATGGGGGATTTGTTGAGAAGAGCCCTCCGAACGAGGGGAAAAAAACCAGTGGAAGCTGGAGATCGTCAGTGGCACAGGAGTGAGGAGGAGAGAAAAAGGAGAAGAAGAGGGAGCAGCAGACAGAGAAATACTCCAATGAAGAGAGAGATGCTGTGTGGGAGTCAGCCAGCTGCTGAGAGCTGGGTGAGCCCCAGCCTGTGGTCATCCTTCATGCTCCTGTGAGCTTTCATTCCTGCACACTTTATAACAAGCAGTAATTAGCAGCTGCACGCCAATCATCCTGAATTATTATGGGCTGCACCAATTTACAGGTTTTTCACAGCTGATGGACCTCAACAGAAATATCCCTCACCCATCAAGGTTTTGTTATGTTTTATTAATAAATTATAGCATGTATGTTTGAAATTGAAGCATATTGAAATGACTTTATTATTTTGCATCACTGCTTTTAAAAATCACATCAGTACTCTCTGGTCTGGTGCAGACTGAGGTTCCTGCATTCACACTGTAATGCTGACACCCACTGGATTTGACAGCAACGTGCAGTCTGACAGAGATTTACACTGCAAAAACTGTCCATCTAACCAAGTTATAAAATCTTATATCAGCCAAAAAGTCTTTTTGATCTTGTTTTCAGACTGATTTACTAAACAAGAACTGATTGTGTAAGAATA